TATATATGGCAAGAGGGACAAAAAGACAGTCTCACTTTATCAACTAATAAAAGAGTGAAAGTGTACTTTTTAAGCTCCCGTGTGCCGGCATAACCATTCTTTTACTGTTTTTTTTTCTTGAAAAATCCCGACGCGCCATAACTCTTCCATTCAGTGTAAAAAAAATAATTTTTCTTGATTTTTATGATAGCAGTCATACGCGATCATAATCTTTTTCCGCGTCGAGTGTTCTCTAAAAAGCTGTTCGCCTTATTATTTGTGTGTACAGTTAATAAACGGTTGGTAAGCACTGTTTTCTAGCATTTCGTACGTTTAAAGACAGCTTTTACGCATGGTAAGTAGTCACTCTTTTGCGTTAAGCTTTGTAGTATTGATTAGCTTAGCCTTCATCACTTTGCTACTGTTGGGGGATGTCATGAAGTCTTCACGTATTATTTATTGTATATTAATGTATTACGATATTGATACATCCAACTATTGCCCCAGTCATGGTGGGCTTATAACGAGACAGGCCCACAATTTTTCGTTCTGTTGTTAATGCTCTTTCAATCGGACAAATTATTATTAGGTGCCCTTCAATTTTGCCTGATCACGGCGTGATAGCAGTATTTTAGCGTGATAGCAGGTATAAGTAGGCGTGCTGGCCAAATGTAACCATCTCTTCCCATTTAACAGCTGTGCCGTATAATCAGCGATGTTCCAAACCAAGATCGAAACTAGCGTGCACGCTGATATCACTGAGGCAGGCATCTATGGATGTGTAAGAAACTATTACCAGCCATAACACTATCCCAAAACAAGCTGACCCCCCGAACAGGACTTTGCTTCCGTTCGGCCGAGAAGTTGATTTTTTATAGGCTTGTCGATCTCTAGTCGTATACTCTGCTATGTTCTTTTTGATGAAGTTCTGCAAAATGGACTCATTTTTGACAGATAAAAGACTTACGATCACATCCAGGACCGAATGACGCTTGACTACGTGACCGTACGGGATCGTTAACTGCGCCACCTTGAATAAGTGAAGGTTCCCGATTTAGGAAAAACGACGAATATCTGCTAAAAAAATAGTAGTTTGAATTAGCGGGTGTCGTGTCAACATCACTAAAATTTTTTTATATTTCAGATAATAAATTGTCATATATCAAGAAGCTTTACAAAGTTAAACGTTGTTCGCCCATAGCCGGGTAACAAATGCTCTGTGATAGGGGGAAAAGGCGAACAGAAGAATCATTGATCATTTGGTTAGATTGAGTTCCTAGTTTGTGAATATTAGCGCTCTGTTCCAGGTACACCATGATCCAGGCATCAAAGATGAAGGGGTCATATAAACGACTCTGTCATTATGCGATTTGGCGAACAGAAATAAGCTGGGTAGGGTGAATGCTTTGCTCAACTCGTGTGACCGATAAGATTATCTGTTTTTTTTTTAGTAGGAGCGGGAATTGCCTCTACACGTTTGTCTCGCCAAACTGGATCCTGCTAATACGTGCTTATCTACTGGCTTTAGAAAATACTCATGATACAGGGTGTTAAAGGCTATTGTTAAGGTAGTCCAACGTCTGCAGAATCGTGGAGCAATTAAATCAATGAGTTAATGAATCAACCGTTATACAAATGGTCTAAAAAACTACGCCTATGCGCTACGGCTACTGGCAAAAGCGATTCGGGAATTCGACAAGCGCAAGAAAGCTAATTTATCAGTTAATTATATATTATAAAGTTCAACAGTTGCTTCCAACTATTTAGATGATAAACGTAAAGTCATTATTGATATATTTGTGTTTTAGTTATCAGGCACAAATATATGTAGCACCTCGTCGCTGCCAAAGAATAACGCCCCGCGTAACGGATTCGTTCTTCGTGAACGTACAACTCGTGAGCCTAGTCATATGGTATCAAACAAATGTGTCATTTTATATAACTACAAATATAACTAGAACATATTATTAGTTTATACTTATGGTCAAGCGAACAAAAGTGTGAAGTCTTCTGCGATAAACTACACGTGAGCGAAATAGGTCAAATTCTTTCAACATATCCCCTATTTAGAAATTTCTAGCAAATTTAGCAAAAACCAATTAGACTTTCAACTGGTAGCCTCTGCTCTTAATTGTTAAATTCCTTGGATTTTTTAGATATTATATTCATACATGTATATATTTCAATATTATAAACGAAAGCCTTACTCTACAAAAGAAGTGCACCCTGTTTTTAAGCAGCGTTGTTAAACACTCCTTTGTCCTAAAACTTTTGTCATTAATCGACTTCTACCTAATAGGAACAACGTAACAGTAGCTTTATTATTTGAGCCACTTCATATTTACGTATAATTTATGAGGCTGAGGTCATTCTCATCTAAAAATGTCGAAAAATAGAGCAATGGCTCTAGTGCAACAGGATGACAGACGGATTCTAACATAACAATTGCAGTAAAGTGATTTGCAAGAAATCGTTGAAATAGGGCCTCGGAGTAGCGCAACTCGGACGTTGGGCAGCTGCAGGAAATTCGGATTTAAGCTAAACAAATCAAATTAGGCCGCGGAAAGTATCAGGATAGTGTTACGTAGCATACCGTGTATGAAAATAATTATGTTGAATCACGTAAGTGTAAATCGGAACGAACTGTGCAAAAGGAGAGTGAATAAGTACACGTGAGGAACATGTAAAATCCAACTAAAACCATGTAGTATAAGCATGATACGTTGCCATAAGAATAATGCAGGATTTTTGCCATTTTTGCGTTCTTGATGACGCTTTTCTCAACCAGGCGGTGTCATCCTTATGCGATTGCTCCATTTTTTTTCTAGCATGAAAATGTGATAGGTTTTGTTTGGTAACGAAGAAAGGGCATTGTTAATTGTTATTGCTACTTGATCATGCGAAATCCTCTTCCGTCAACCCGCTAGCTTAAGCGGGAGCCGCTGGGTCAGCTTCTACCACGCTACGTGTACGCCGAAACAAAGATCCTACCTATTGAACTGTTATGAACTGCGTGTTTGTGTATGATTTGTACAAAGATCCTTATTGGAGGCGCAGAGACTATTACTTAAGTTTAATTGCGGTTGGCGGGAAAATCGCTGTACGCCGTCGAGAAATCAAGGCTCTTTGTTGGGTTCCTAAAAAAACAAGGTCTTTATCTGGGCACACGCTATCAAAATCACTCGATGTGGTAGCTGGACTTTAGAAAGAAGAATTTAACTGTAGTGAAGTAAGTGGTTATCCGATTGGGTATTAAGTTTATGAAACAATCAAGTTGTAGCGCACCACCAAGTTCAACTTTGACTGTTGACATTTCTTTGTTACTGGTTCCTCACGAAAGCTAGCTGTTTCAAGGTGCTAAGCTTATAAAGTTACCCGAATTGAGGCAACAATAAAATGCCGTCAACAGGGTAAACGAAGCGGACTGGAAAGGTATTGTGTTCTAAACAGTCTTAGGCAAATAAGTTTGTCTCAGGGGGCCATACTACTACGACATAGTTTAAACTTATAGGCGACCTATGTGCTGTGTCTAGTCTTGGTTGACACCTAATTTAGAAGTTAGCAGTACGACAAGTAAAGATGAACGCAGTTGTTTCCTACCACACTTTAAACATTTGTTAAACATAACACTGCATGGCAGAGGCAGTACGTTGTCGTATATAACTCAACCCTCTGAAAAGCTGCACAGAATTTGATCGTCACCGAGGTAGTTTTTAAAGTTGTTTCTTCCGTTACTTGTATCTTAGCATATCTGCAACCAAAGAAACGGAAATCCGTAAAAAGTTTATTGCCTGACGCTATTTTAAACGAACCTTGTTCTCAATACAAATAACTCTTTGCTTTTGTTTTATATTAAAAGACTCCTAAATTAGAATATGTATCTTTAGAAAAAATCGCGTGGGAGGTTACGGTCGAACGCATGTAGGTTAACTTTACATTCCGCAGGATTGCGTACGTCGTTGGACACTGCATGTTTGCCCTCAAGATCTACCGGGGACATGTACGAACGTCTGTAAGCAAAACAAAAATTAAATAGAATGTTTTACAGCAAAATGGGGGTATAAATATATTATTACATCTCCATATTTTTCACGGTTTGGTGTGTCTATTTTTGGAAAAAATATTGGGTTTTTGAAATCAAAACCGTGATAATCAAAATTACCCTTAAAAGATTATGGCTATAACATTCTACTTTAGCCTCCTTTACTGTCAATATTAGTTAGCGCGGTTCTGATACTACTATCAACCAAACAATTTTTGAAAAACAAAGAACATGATCTCAATAGTGGACAAGCATTTTAGAGCAAATTTTCTCTAACTAGGAATTAAATAAGGTGTGTATTCACACGAAGGGATTGCGTGGTGCAAAAAGAGGTTTCTGTGTAGCACAGATTAAAAAAATTAAGAAAAAATGTAAATGTACCGTGTTCATGGAACTATTTCCAGACACAGGCGCTGTGTATAACCTTATTATGCGCCTATGTTTTAGGAACAGCGGTACATTTGCTATTAAGGTTGACAGCTTTTTGCTAAAAATAATGATTTGATATTTAATAATTTCTAAATAAAAACTATTTGCCTAAAATAGCCCAAAAGAGACAGCGTGAAACAACCTTTTATTAGGAGTTCCAACAATCTTGAAGAATTCAGAACTATAATCAAAGATTACCATTTGAAACTGATCTACTAATTGACTCTATAAACAACTTCGTGTGCTCGTGTATTTTATAACAAATAAAACCTATATCCTTACGTAGCCTATCTGCGTGCCTAGGGATACTAGAATAATGTGGTTACCGAATTTTTCAAAAGATTGTATTAAAGTGTAGAAGTGCAAGATTATAGATTAGCCCGAATGAACTCGAATAGAAGCGAGGAATAAAGCTTCTAGAACGAATTATAGTCGTTTGAGCTTGACCTATACAGTACCCGATCGTTACAAGAGCCAAGAAAACACTTATTGGGATGCGATATAGTTAGAATAGCCATGTCAAGCTTGAAGGGTAAGCGATAAAGACCCCGTGGTACAAATTTCAACATTTTTTAATATATATATATATGCTTCAGTTGTTCTGCGTAGTACAACAAATGGGTCAATTAGAGACACGCGCTATGTATGAGTAAATGTCTTGACGCGTTGTGGAACCCGGGTCGGTGGAAATAGAACCGGGTTCCACAACGTCGCTAACCCGTGAAAGGAAAATCGAGGAAAAGCCAGCCTTTATCCTATTTTGCATCGTGCCATATAAGGGCATATAGAATAAAAAGAAAACAGCTCTTTGCGAGCAAAGTAAATATAGGCGACATAATCGGAAGCTGTTTTAGCCTTGATGCGCTATTTACTAATACTAGTAGTAGCTTCATCAAATAATCAGTAGTATTAGAACAGGCAGCTAAAGGGAGACAGATTCCTTCCGGATGGGGCAACCAGTGGGCAAAATAACAGCACAGTTGTGTACATTAGCCAATGAGCTCACCAAGCTGAAACACAGCAGCGACTTTTGAGGAAGGTAAACGACCGGTGTTTGTTATTAGCGTAACGCCCTGGATATAAGGGCCGCCTACCGATGCATAGTAATTTATACGTTCTTGTATAGCAACACCTTCGATTTCTATTTAGTGCGTACTTTGCGTTGCGAGTTTCATTATGGGCTAGCTTAACTGGAAACTAAATAGAAAATGTGGTTTGATGAAGTACGCGTATCTGTCAGTTGCAGTAACACACTGCATTAGCAGTCGATTCACGCCCTCTGCGTTATACCAATCTAGATAATCTACTGTTGATAAGGTTTATCCGCCCGTATCGAACTGGGAAGCGTTCAAGTTCGAAGGCTCTCGCCTTAAATTAGTAGGTGTACAGAAAGGTCGACCTATACGTCGCTCATATAGCCGGCGCGTAAACCGTAACCGATGATAAATACAATAGGTAAAATGAATTAAGACAATGTTTTGCTCATAAGCGTATTTCATAGAACTTTATTTTTGCAGCATGCCAATTAACATGGCATTAATGATATGGATCATGCAGGAATTATGAGTACCGCATCGTACGTAAAAACTGTAGTAAGGCCACGCGTCAAGCATTGTTCAATAAGTGTGACTTGCAACAGATATTCAAATCGAATAGAGCTTGTACAAAAAGTATATAATGTTAGCAAATTGCATATGGTTTTACTTTCAATGTAGCAACGTATACCAATAACATACTAATTAGTCGTGAGACAATATTGGATAACAGCTTTACCAACAATAGCCGCTTTGTAGGCCACAATGTGACTAAACTATATAGCAAGTAGATAAGGGCATCAGGAGTCATAACGATCCTGGTTATAGTTGATTCTTACAGAAATTTAAGTGTAAAAATAGTGAATAACTAAGAATAGACATAAAATATATAGATTAACCCATATATTTAACAGATATATACGGACCAATTTAGTTTTGTCATTAGCTGGCAGGAACGAGCTTTACGCTCATTTGCTCTGTGCTTCTATCATCCTAAACGTTTATTCAGTAAATGTTTGCGTCGTTATAACTCGGCCACGTTTATCCGTTGGATCGTCCTCATCCCTCGCCCGGTACCCTCTAACGCTTAATAGGTTAGACTTCATGTAGCGCTAGCCTGACATCAACGTCGTATCTTCCCGCATGTATCGTGTAGGATTTCGTTGTTTTGAAAACCGGACTAACGGGTTAAGGTGTTTCCGGACCCTGACACCATTGGAGACGCCTTCCATGAGTTTGCTATAACAGGCCCAAACAAGCGAGCCCCTCGTCGTCCTCGAGCGCATCCCACTACTGCAACAGGACCCGCTGCATTCGTGACTGTGCTCAATGTTCCTCCTTCCCAGGATAAAGTCACAGATCTTTCTTCAGCAGGTCAGCACATACCACAGACGCAACCCATTCGGACTAGTTCGGGTTTAGGATATGTACGAGTGTAAAATATATACTTGTCTGCGCTTGTAATACAATTATAAAAAAAGCACATATTTATCTGTATTAGTCTCCAGCTCTTCCAGAATTTACACCCATCTTCTTTCACATAACCGTCATCAATTATTAACTATCTCAGCTGTATCGGCATGTAGGTGCAAGGCGCTACCTTTAGGACAAGAGCGTCTCAACTTACTATCGGACGCCCCTTCCGTATGACAGAAAAGCTTTGGCTCTACTCCAGTATCTAATATTGTCACGCACTTGCTAAAACTACGAGCTCAAAGAAAAAGTAGTTAATATTAATGCGAAATTACGGTGATTACTTCTAGGGAAATAAAGGGATGCTCTCATGGGCCGTTTCGACGAATCTGCTTCTTAGCCATACAGTGCGTTACTTTGTTCAAGTTGTACCACGAGCCGTTAATATGGCTGTTACGGTCGGAGATATCCGTTGATGTTGATAGGTCACGAGTTTTACTCAGAGAGCAGCGGTTCGGTGGCCAGTTTATGGAAGACGCAGGAAATGATTTATCATCTTTGATGCCTGGTAAAGGCCTGCAGCAATATAGTGTCGGGGGCCTGCCTGAACAAAGCCATCTTTAGACAACGGTTGCATTTCTTCATGTATGTAGCCAGCTAGTGATGGCCATATGCCAAATGATGATGATATTGTTAGGCATCGGTACCATAACCTGACGTATTCCGCTCCGGAATCAGGTAACGGAAATAATTTAACAAAACTTGAAATATAACAAAATCATCAATTAGTTGTCCATATTATTATCACTATTAGCAATAGGCAAAGTGGCTGCCGCCATTCGACGCGTCCACATATACAACATCCGTCTATCATTACTCATGAGGATCATACGTTTATCTGTGAAAAACACCAAGCATTGCTTAACTTCTTCGATATACAAGTTCAGTACTAAGATACGAAGTATAATATGTTTTAAGACGATGGCCCAACTTTGACCTATAAAGCAATTTAAAAAGGAGCGGCTTTTAATCTGGACAGTCAATTAGCCATCAGTTACAGTACCTTATTCCTAGGTTTTCATTTTTAAGTCATCTTCCTATAGCTCAGAATACTATTTGACGATTCAATCGGTTTAAAAATTAAAATGGATAGAATGGTCTGCTTTCATGTTGTTTACACACGTTTCTGTGAAGCACTGATAGGAACTGAGGGCTTTCTTGAGCCTTTAGAGATGGTGACTGTTTGATCGCATGTAAATCTACTTAAGCCAAATCTCATTTGGTGTTCCGGTATTATCTTTGCAGAGATCAAAAACACCATTTAAACAACAGGCACTTTAGGCACCGAGAGGAACTGCGGCGGATGAGAAAATCTATCTGTACTACTAAAAATGTAAATCCGCCCTCATTCAAAACAACCCCGCAGGGGGCACGGATAAATGTTTGTAAGTTCCTTGTTGGAACAGTCTGCGTTAGAGATGAAACTAACTAGAGAAATATATTCTCTCCAGAGGAGCTTTTCCACTCCATAAAACATACCGTTAGTTTGAGCAAACTAACCATTCTTGGGCGTATTTTTTGGTATCGAATAAGAGGCCTCGATGAGTTCAGTCGCAATAGTTCAGCCCGAAGATGGCCAAAAACACGATTGGTCAGTGAAGCTACGAATGATATCCCACGTGATTCTGGACTATTTACTTTATTACCTTTCAAATGAAATTTAGATTAAACTTAACGCGGGTTGGTCGAAAAAGGAGCTAAAAAGTACCGAACCAAATAGACAGGGTGATTGCAAGCAGGTAACTGTAGACGTATACGATCGCTTATATCAAATTTAATATAATAACGAAATAGATAAATCAATCAATGGCGGAACGAAGCCCTCAGGTTCGTCTAATAACACACCAAAATGTTTTCGAAGAACGCAGTGAAGAATGTAAAGCACATAATTCCGCACACGTACGTTATGGTAAAATCTAATCACGATTTAAAAAACGAGGGGATTTTCTCGACATTCTCTACCACAGACACAGAATTCTGTATTGCAAATGAGTTTATGGAAATGTTGCTAATGTGTTGTACTAAATTTACTCTAGGATTCGGTTATCAGTGAAGCGTTAGCAGGTAGTAACCTTGGCAATTTAGTAGGCAATGTGAATGTGTGATTTCCTGACCAAAAATACCATAGGGCATCTTCTTTTCTATTAGAAAAGAACAATGTTCATGCTGGAATAACGATTTTAGAAGCGGCCATATGTCTGATGCGTTCCGCTTTATCCCATTCATTAGATATTAGTAGAGCAAATCTTCAATATCTTTCAAGTGTTCATCTTCCTGAGCTACTATTTGACACGGTATGACAGGTGAGAAGACACTTTAGTTTATGGGTTTCAATAAGAAGTGTTACGCATGACTACATTTAACCGACGGCTGCGGCCCAAGTCCAACGGGTACCTAATTGAAGGTGTCCGACGAGTGTGTTGGTTCTGTTCGATTTATTCGAGGCATCCTGCGGCCATGTTCTACGGGATTGTTTTCTGCGGCGGTACGATTGTAAAAGCTTGCTAGTGAAGTCTGCAATGGCGAGAAGAAGGGTAATATCACCCTGATTGCAAACGGATGTTCAGTACCGCCACTACGTGAGTTGGTAAGCGGTCAAGTCTTCGTTACTGCGACGAAATAAAGGTCAGAAAACAGCAAAACCAGTTTATTTCATTTTTAGCAAGTACTGACCGCGCTGGGTAAACGACGAGCTAGGGTTATCAGGCACGACATATTTTCTAACGACGTTTCTTCGAAAGATACTACGTCGACTTCACCAAACGTAGATAATTAACCTAACGTAACCCGCACCTATTGGCACCTGACTGAAAACGTCCCGGCGGTGTGCGAAAGTACATTATGAAATTAGGTAACATTGGGAGGGATTGTCTACAGGCAAGAATTCTACTCTGGAATCCACTGCCATGAGTTTATTTTTGTCTTGCAAAATCAACGCTAGATTTAACCGAAGAAATCAACAAACAGACAACGACTTTAATGCAAGCTCATTTCATGAAGATGATTGAATCGATTCTTTCAAAGGAAGGTCACAATCATCGTGCCGTTCAACTCAGCTGTTCTAGCTAAAAGATAGAATTAGTTTTAAAAAAACAAACTAACAAAACCAACGTGTGCAATTAAATTGCGTCATAATGTTAACCATCAACCTCATTCAAATGTATTAGTTATATATATTAGTTTTATACTCTCTCTCTCTCTCTCTATATATATATATATATACATATGGTTGTGTTAGAATAAACACGCATGCGAGGCCAAAGCTTTCGTAATAGCGAATTGTTACCAGCGAATGTCATTCGAAATTATTATCGAGGCCAGACGATTTGTTCCTAGCGCGCCTAATGATTGAATTAAGCAAATCCTTTTAGGTTTGTATGGGTCGATAATAAGTTTGTAAGATAAGACGAAGATAAAAAGTGGTATTTCTGACACTTCGTCAAAATATTGGTTTGGTGCCTAATGCCGCCCACTACCTTAAAAAAAAAGCATCCGCTTAAAAGAGATGTAAAGAAACGTGCATGTTGATTACATCAGTCGTCATTGTAATGTTTTATTATAGCTATAGCATGTTAGTAAATGGCCCCCTGTCCGGGTGGTAATCGAGCCTGGGTTTTCCGACTTGCGGGCACTTGGTGACATTGCAGCTCATTCATTACGGTTGTTATTGCGGTAAGAATCAGTATCAAACTTACAACGTCAAACAAAGAGGATAGGGTATCCTCAAAATGAGTCAATACCTATTTGGAGCAATAAAATGGGTTTGAACCACAAATTTTCAAGAACACCGCCGACTATATAGTGGCTTTTAGCACAGTGAATCATCGTTCAGTCGTGTACCATATTGTATTGCTCTATCAGGTCCAAAGAAATGTTTATATGTCTACCCCTGTTTTCGAAGTTGTTTTTCAAGTGTTAGGTAAAGAGTAAACATTTTGAGTATTCAAAAATACAAAGAAATGAGAAATGGTGACGTACGTTATTAAGAAGTACCAGGTAATAGGAAGCATGCAGAGTCGGGCTTGATCCAAGGTTCCGCCCAAAAATTGAAGTCGACGCACAAAAAAACCGTGACAGTAAAAGCCGTACTCGAATTTTACCTTACTCAAGTGCTCTATCATCTTCGTGAATCGTTTTCATGAGTATGCCACCCAACCAATGGCGTAAATCAGGCGAGGTATGTACTAATCATGGAAGGGGCTCGGTCGTATTTCCAGTTTCGGCACTTGTTGGCAGCGCACGACCGGCTGAAAAATACGCTACGTACCGCAGGTTCGTTGTTTTGATGATAGTTAGTCCCTGTATATTGTGAAGAGAGTGCTCTAGAGATTATATGGGGCTATAATTTGAATCATCTAAGCCGAGTGAATCGAGATCAACTGCGAACCGGAAGTAAATAGCAACCGTTACAGTCATCATGTGGTAAAAACCAACTGCATCATCATAGTGGCGTCTCCATGATATCAAAAAACGTAAGGGCGCGTCAGATTCAAAATTGCGTGTAGACGCACTCCGTTTCGTGCTGAGGCCAGCCGTCTAAACAGAAGCAGTACCAAACGTAAAAAACAGAAACATTAGTTTTTTACCAATAGCTTTTACGGGAAAGGAAATAGAAGAAAGCATTTTCCATCAATAACATATCCGAGCCACGGAAGGATCGGAGCGGATTTGCAAGCATTCAAATACCAGCAACGGAATATTATGTTCGAGGATTCACGAGAATGACAAACAGTAAGGCAACCTTTAAGAAATATGCGCTGAAGTAACGATGAGCGTCAGATAATTAAGACAGGGATATTAACATCGCGTAATAGGCTAATCAGTATGAGGAGGTTAAGATGTAAACTCGCGTAAAGGTGATGCTAACTGTAATTTGACGCAACAGTATAAATTAAAGGACGCCTCGGAAGTTAAAAACTATGGATGTTGCTGAAGTTCTTCATTTAAGTTTTCAGGTTATAAACAGGTAGATGTAAATTGAACGCTATTTCGGCAAGGCGGCCTTTCGGAGTCTTTAAGTTCTATTAGGCTTGTGGACTGCGTACGGTCTGTTTTTCAAGTAAATCCTTGTTAAAAAATATGCTCAGCTAAATCATTAGACAATGTTCCATCGTGTTAAATAATGTACAATACAACTAATGAAGCATGTTTATACAATTGTACTTAATATTAGTCCTAAGAGAACATTAAACTTGATACGCAGTGCGTATGTTCTAGCTAAGCTCTTGTATTCGTAATTTCCGCTATCCGAATAGATTTTATCGTTATCTACATATGTGGATGTCCAGTCTTTTGTATCTCAGCAAAAGATACCCAGGGGGCTTTGCATGAAAGGGACATACTAATACAGAAATCCGTATCTATATATTACTCAAGTAACGTAATGGAAGGCTTGGTCCCTTTTGGCACCGTTGGCAAGATTTCCATACCAAAGGGGCATCTAGATGAACAGTTAAATAATCCAAAGCTATGCCTCTTAGCTTCTGTAACGAAGCTTCTTGTGGCGAAAACCGTGATACGCATTGTCGTTGCCCGCTGCTCATTCATATATTCACGTGGCGTATTTAGCTGCTGAAGGTTCGTCTACATGTTTCAACGGTGAGACGATTGAGTTGCCACTGTTCTGTGGTTTCGTGTAGGGAGCCAGGCTAGTTTTCTGGCAGTATCAGCAGTGGCCTACACAATGGGTGAGGCAGGCCGACACCGAAGGCGGCTAGATATGTAGGTGCATTATACACGGGCGTGTGCACTCGTATCCGTTTCGGATCAACAGAAGGAGTTTTGCTGCTATTACTGCTGCTACTTCTGCCAGTACAGCCTCAGCTGTTTCGTCTAAGAGTGAAGACTATCCGGCCATAATGGCTTGGACCTGTAACAGCAGGCGGAACAGTCACTTCCGTGGGTCAATGGGAGCAGCTCGGTAAAGTTGAATGCTGAAGGCCGCTGGCGGCCGGTCCTGGGTCGCTTCGTATGGTGGCGAAGGGGCAGGGGCCACAGTGGGGTCAGGGCGGCGAGCTGGACAGGGTCGGCATTAAGCGAACTCGAACTATAGACTGTGAACGGTCACTTCGGCAGTAAAGGAAGGAAAACGGGACAAGGGAGCAGGAAAAAAAGGACTGCCAAGCAAGCATTCAGACAGAGAGGTTGGTTGAAGAGCATCGCATCTCGGACAATGAATGGGTCGCTGTGGGTGGTTGGCAGATGGGAAACAAGCGGTTTTGTCCTGAACGTTACCATACTTAGGGGCAGATTGCTGGCTATGGTAGTACTATGGCGAAAGCAAAAGCAAAAAGAATCCAGCTAGGTCTATATAAACAAGCGTTCTGTTTCCATATTGAGCTACAAACTGAGTTCACATACACAGAAAAGAATAATCATTTATATTTTTATTTCTCAAGCAGAGCTGAAGTTCAACAAATGTAATAGACTTTAATGGAATAGAAACGTATGTGTCACTTTGAGTTAGTTGGCAGACAGGAGTTATGTTTTCGTGTCGACTAAGTATAAGTTCGGTTAAAATTAAAATATGCCGATTGTCTAAAAACGCCTTAAGTCTGTCCCACTATTTTGTACTTGAGAAAACTATTCTAGAGAAGTTGATAGGGCTCACCTTAGCTTACAGGAATGCTTGTATGGATTTTTAATGTAGAAAGTCTTACGGTGAGAAACTGTGAAATGACAAAGATTGCAGTGTTGGTATCCGGTCTGTTATATATCGAGTTATACTACATGATAAGAACTAAACAGTTTTTATAAAAATAGTTCTTCTTAAAATATACACCGAAGAACTACCAATTAATTAACTTCATAGATGCACATTTAAGTGTAGAAACTTGTACTGACCACGCCAAATTGATATCCTATAAGATTCTTTTAAGCCCGAATCATTTCAGTAAGATGTTTTTGCAGCAGAATTCTGTGACGGTTCTCTCTATTCTTGATTGTAATCGTTTAAAAATTGCTTCTATTTTTAATGCCGGCTTCGCAATTGTCAGTTCGACAGAAGCACACATGGACATATCGTCTTTAAAAAAAAAGTTCTCACAGCGTTGATGGTGTCGACCAAGGCGAAACTTCGTTGGAGGCAAAATAACAGCAGCTTTTCGGTAGAATCCATCGTAATCGTTTTATTAGATTGCGATCAATTCTATTCCAGCGGGCGGCCATTCTCTAGTAACCGGTCAGTGTTCCATTCACTGACATAATGCTCTCAATGAAGGTGTTCAATTAGTGCCAAAAGATCTTCCCTTAGCGATAGCACCTTCCTGACAGAATGCTAGATAGTTATAAAAGAGTAACTTTCGTTACTTTTAATCAGGAAGATGTGTTCTTAAACAAACGTCGATGTTGAATGAAACCTTCGGTGTCGTAGGTCTCATAGAAATTGTTTAACCAGGATCGAGGCCACGTTGGCCCTACTGCGAAAATATAGGCTGCGTCGACGGCTATAGGCAAAAAGCCAAATCAGACCATCGTGTAGTTTTTCTCCAGATCTAACAAAATATTCAGTATTTTTAAAGGTCAATTAAAGTCTAATTTGATATTGTACTTTTGTTCTGTAGTACCCGTCGGTGAGTTCGCGCGAACGATGGACTGTTAGAGAATATCTAGGCGATAAACGATAGCCAATCTCAAAAAGGATTTCCATATCCTTTATGTTATCTTATACACAGTAGATTTAATTGAATCAAATGCTCTCGACGACGTTAGTCGTGGTCTGATCCTACGCTATTTCCAGTTGCAACTGGTTATGTATTGATCCCTGTTGGTCGCTTCTCTGCTTTGAAATCGAATGAATGGCATGTACGGTACTGAATTAAAGGACTCGGAATAAAGTTTATAGATAGAAGTATTTAGTCTGTAGAAGAATTTAGTAAGCTCTATGACTTGTGTATTACGCCAGTGCACAGTTTTTGCCATCAAAATACGTTGACCTCTACGGCTTTCGGCTCATTGCGGCCGTGCCCACTGGGGCGTGCGGTTCGTAAGTCTTCATACTGGCAATCGATCTTCTGCGGACGCGCTCATCCGTATGTCCTGTGTAATCCTCTTACGCACATAGCAGATCTGACTCGTACGGAATTGAAGACGTTCTCTGATTAGTTATAAGGAGACCTGTTCAAGTTATATAATTTTCCATTAATTTAATTTCCTAAAATAGCTAAGCCATTTAGGTGACGGCGCTTACGCTATGGGAGCAGTTGTTTGCGGGTCGTTAAGTTCCAATCTCAGCTATACGACGGATTTGATGATACTTGATAGAAAAAAAAACCGTGTAAGTGCTGATTATAGTATTTAATATAATTAAAGTTATTTTTCTGTCATAAGCTTTTATTTCGCAAGTCGAATGTGTATATGTAATTTGAACAATCATTGACTCTCAGCTGAGAACTGAACGCGAGGCCTCACGAGTATGGCTTTAATGGTTATGCAATTGTCCATCATGATAGTCACTGTTAAGCGCTTATGCCCTAACCTTAACATTAAGTTTACTGAAGGATAAACTTTTTTCACTCGTTTTTTTGTTTTTAATTTTTAAATATTATTTTGCCATGAGGCCTAAAAGATAGCATTAGGCCAAGTCGTATTGGATTTGCTCTAGCTTTAGGGCATGTCTACAAGCGTTACAAACAATTTTATTCACTATATGTAATTTCACATCCTTACTTCGTATGTGTATATATATTTATCCAATACGTTTATAATATATGGCAGAATTTGAACATCAATTCTTCTTTGTTTCTATGTAGCATTTGAAGTAGTTCGACACAAATAAACCTTCTGGCCATAAGTTGTAGAGCTGCTCGTGGTAAATTCTGTAACCTTATCTTCTCTTCTAAATTGGGTATTTTATAAAGCACATAATTTCTTATGGACAACCATAGGGAATAAATGAGCTGTACTTAGCCCTTATTGAGATACTTATCCTGTGCATTAGCAAAAAAAAACGCATTAGGCGTTAATGAGGAGCTTTTCGTAAACTTCATAAAAGATTCTTTTCGTAGTCAAAAAATCACGTGTGGACGTGCTGGCGATAACTTCGGATCAGGCTCGGGTAAATCGATCATGCGAAGTTCAATAGTAATAAAAGTATCAATGTGATGCTGATCAGCCACTAATGACGACCTGTATCTATGTGTTTTTTACTTATATAGTTGAATTTTAGGTTACCTTAGTAGATCGAGAATAGAGTAATGCAATATAGAGGACGTCAAGCCAAGAATTAGGTCGACAAATTTT